AGTCACTTAGATAACTTAAAAGTGTTATTTTTTGGCTTTTTTAGTATTTTATTTGTTCCTGAGTAAATCGGTTTGGCTGAGATTAAAGTTATAGTTTTTACACAGCTGAATAAACGTCAAGCAGACAGCTGATTATCAGAAGTGTGAGATGCTGGAGAATTTACTCCGGTGTCCTGTTATATTTTAGATAGCAAGGAGTTTATTAAACTTCATCGAAACAATCTGCAAATTTCATTAAAATTTTATAAACTATCATCTTGTCTTTATTTTTAGTTAGCACCTTAAACACTTAAAGCTGTAAGCTAATGATAGTTACATAAGAGCAGATGCTGCTGGTGCAATAAGCTGTATGTTTTACGTGCAATAAGCTGTATGTTTTACGTCCAATGGATGATGATCTGATTAGTCGACTAATCGCAAAAATAATCGGTGACTAGTCGACTATCAAAATAATCGTTTGTGGCAGCCCTAATAATGATTTTATGTACATTTAAGCTAATTTGGACTCTCACCATTACCGATGTTAAATTACTGAGGGAATAGAGGAACTATGGGAAGGAAGCAACAAAAGAAGAAAGGGACCACAAAGGACAATTTCCGTTAGCTCTGTCCTTAATGGACAATTAAGTTGTCATCACAGGCTTGGAACCACTCATAGAATTCCTAAGCATGTGTGGACACCAAAATCCCCTTTCCAAAGTTCAGGATAGGGGATTTTCTTAACTCTCTGCAATCCTGAACTGCTGCAAAGCTACATGCGAAGCTTTAAAAGCAATACTGGCCCATTCCAAATCCCCTCCTCCCTACACCCCATGTGAGAAGAGAGCAAATTAACTCAAGCAGTCTGAAGAGTCAGATAACAGTGCCCATCATCTCCACCATCTCTGAGACCTGTTGAAACAGACTCAGGCACATACAGGGACACACATAAAAGGCCTGTGTCCTTCAGGATTTGTCGAAGCCCAGTGACAGAGTGAGGTGGTGACAGTGTGGGGCCTGGCTATGCCATAAAGCTGATAGGCAATACGCCAGTCCAAGGAGCAGCACACAGATAACCCACTGATAACATCCTCGTGGGAAACATTAACAAATGTGCCAGAGTAGCCATGTGAGGGGGAAAGTAAAACATTAAAGAGGCAAAACACAGTGGAGCTAAATAATAAAAGCTGCTTCAAGCACATTTGGTGGGTCTTGGTATAAAAACAACAAAATAAAAACCCTTCACCTGGATGCAAACATAGCTGTTGCACTGAAACAGCAGGAACACTTTTTCCCAGTTGCAGAAGCCAGAGGGATAATTACAAAATCATGTACCACTAATTTTGCAAGGGGCAAAAAAACAAACAAAAAAACAATCTCTGCAAGCAATTAGTTAACACATGAAAGCATTTTGCACGACTTGAGAAAGGGTGCAAAACAGAAATATGCCTCATGACAGCACACGCGCATTCATGCGTTTCTGCTGACATTTACTTCCCATTAGTGGAGGAAGAGATGCCGCGGATCAGCTGAAGGATTTAAATCAATCATGAGCCGGTGGTTAATGATGGTATGTGTGTCAGGTACGTGTTGCTAAACAACAACATCAAACCTGCATCTGCTGCATGTGTTAAAATATGCGTCGTTTGTCTACTGTACAGCCCGGATACAAATATGGCCGCAGTGTTTCATTGATTTTCACAATACTCTTTACTGACACATTCAGTTAAGAATGTGAAGCAAAACCTTTTAATGCAATACATAACAAATGAGGGTTGGGTGAGGCTGCTGGGGGAAAAACGCCAATGTTTATAGAAGGGAGGTATTTGTCTTCTAAGCTTCCAGCAGCTTACTATGAACAACAAAATGAAAACCACATGTCTCAGTGGGATATACTGATGGGGTGTCTCTCTCCTGACACAGGAGTTTCTATGAATGCGAGCGGGGGACGGCCATGCTGCTGCCTATTCGACCCCCTAAACAAATAAAATGTCTGATAGAGACCAGGCCTCTGCCGGCACCCCCGCCTTTGTCCGGGCCCCAGGGCACAAAGCCAGCTGCGATCAGGAGGCAGCGCTGCTGATCAAACACTGAGACACAATCGCAGCAGATGCAACTACTACATTCAGACTGTTGATGGGCAGACAGCTTTAAAAGCCAATTCAGATTCGATGGCTTATAGAACACGCAAACGCACGCACGAGCACTTGCAATGCAGAAAACGACGAAAATATGCGCGTGATCGAAACAAAAGTTTTCTCATGGGTGTGATTCATTATGTGAGAGAGGTGAACACTCAAGAAGTCAGCTTAAAGCAACAGAGCGTGAACATCGCGCTAGAACATTTCTCCCGAAACACTGAGCTAAATTAGGGATTACAACCAGCCTGCTTTCACAATCATTAGTGATGGAATTCCACCAAAAAACTCCAGGTGGGAAAATTCAGAGATCAGCAGTTTCATCGCTCAGTCTGAGGTGAGGTGGATGACTGTAACATGCTCAGTGGGAGTAATGACAAAGAGTAAGAAGAACTTCAGTCTGACTTGAAATATTTCCTCATTCTTCTGAGAACAATTCCAATCATACCGGCTTCAATGCAGAGATGCTGTTTTTGCTCAACTTAAAGCTGCTTGGATAAATCAGCCACACATAAACAACATGTATGTTAAGTAAAGACCTACTGAGACTTAAAGACTCCTACGGTGCACTCCTAAACCATTAAAAGGATTAAGGTGTCGGTCCAGACTGCAGACGGTGCAGAAACGGCTAAAAAACAACAAGAATTCAAACAGAAATGACTTCAAATGAATTCCTGGATTCCTCCCTTGTTCATCCAAGGAGGAGTGCAGCATGTTTTAAAACTTTAAATCTGACCACAGTGTCCTCAGAAAGCTGATATACCAGCGATGTAAAAGACCAGAATTTCAGCTGACATTTTGATTGCATCACATTTGTCCTCTGCTATGTTAGATTAAAGTATCGAGTTATTTTCAGTGCAGCGCAGAGAAACGTATGGCTGTTTCTGGAGGCTGTCATTGGGTACGCTCATGCCATTTCCTCCAGGTTCTGGTCTAAAATTAGGTCTCCTGCCTGAAGGACATTACACGATGGTGGTCTTCTGGACACTGAACAAGTACACAGTTTCAAATGTGTTGCATATCCAGCCCACACTGGGCTGTTAACAGGCAACGGGGCCAACTGCAGTGCAATCTATTCAAAGCATATTTGATTGGTGTTGAAAGTTGCCCGAGGACTCCGGCGAAAAAGGCACATGAAAAAAAGTACTTTGTAATAACTGCTAAAACATCAATTCCTTTTCAAATGCAGTTTTAACTTCCCTTCTGACTAAACCCTCTCATCCTGTCCAAAGCAGCCCTGACCAGGCAGAATGAGGTCTTTGTGAAAGTGTAACAACACAGACAGTCCCTTCCTGTCCTCTGTGTGGGGGAAACTGCGCTGCAGGACATCCAGATAAGGCTGCTGTTAAAAGATAAGACAGATAATCCTCCTTCTTTTCTCAGTTTTTGCTCAGCGCAGGAAATAAACACAGACCTGATACTTCAATGCTGTAGTGTCTTCTTCAGTGTGAGGTTTTGAAGGCAGGTGTAGTCGAGGCACCTGAGTGGTGGGCCCTGTAGGAAGCTGCAGGCAAACACTGTCAGTTGTTACAGCTTAACCACGACTGCTGGGTTTATTCATGCCCAGAGCTCACACTCTCAGCCTCGACATGAGGAGAGAGCTCCAAACGACCGCTCCTGTTGACATACATCGTTAAGTGACAGGACACAACTGGGAATGTTAAAAATAACTCACAGCACTAGTTCAACGATCCAGTACAAAAGAGGAAAGCCTACAAATGTTGTTATGACATAGCATGAAGACATTTACTCTCCATGTTGAGTTCTTTACGCAGGCGTGAGATAACCCCGTCAAACTCAAAGAGAAGCAGAGAGTCTGGACAGTCGAGATAAACCCATTAAAAGAAGCAGAGCTCAGATTTGAGCTCTGCTTCTTTAATATTCCAGGAGGAACGCTACGAGCTGCAGTTATGTAATTTGGCAGCTAATTAGAAATAAAATAAATAGAAACTTCTTTAGAAAACATCAGGCACATTTTCTATCAATATTTGTTGAGCCCACATTAAACTGGACTTCACAGCATGAAGCAGAGACTGCACACACCTCTCTTATCTCTGCAAAATTACAATGAAAAAGCAACAAATAAATTAACATACGTTATTTGTAACAAATGCTGTATTTCTGCTTCTAATTTACTGTAATATTCTCCACCCAGAGGGCTTTAAAAAGAGAAGACAACTGACTCAAAGCTGGAATCCTCAGGAATTCACTTCATTTTGATTTGGGAACAGCTGCATTTTCCTTGATAACTGTTTTTTTTAAACAAGGAAGGAACTCAGTGGTATAATATAAAATGAGAGGAATGGGTTAGCATCTTTTACCCCGGGGAGATTTTTGCAAGAATGTTTTATATTCTTCATGAGCGAGTCTTGTCTGTCTCAATCTGTTTATTTTGTGCAGAAGTAGATGTTCCTTTTATCTGAGCTGGAAGCAGAAAGCCTGGGCTAACACTGAAAGTTGATAACAACCACTCATCATCTCTGGCTGGAGTTTAGCTTTTGATAAGCCAGCTGATGCAAAGAAAGCCTGGCTTTGTCGAACGCGCTCCACAGTGCACCCCTCAGATATGTTTCTTTACAGCGCTATTTTTAATAAACAAGTCATTAAACACGCCAAATCATGTGCCGACAGCCCACAGGTCACTGTGGTTGTTTCTTAACTTTCCATCACCCGCTTTAAAAACATGAATGGAATTTTGTTGCACATTCCTGATTTCCATTTGCAGCGATTGCTAACCAAGTGCAGTGTGTCCCACACATATACTCAGGTATATTTTCCACCATATCTTCATTTTTCTCTTGCATGGATGATTTACTAGTTGTCTTATTTTAAAAGGTCAGTTGTTGATAAGAAACTAAGGAGTACAGCATCTCAAAGTTTTTGTTTTGATTTCCAAGTTGTAACTGTTTCCATGCCTCTGACTTGTGTGGAAAAAGGGAAAAAATGCTACAAACAAGCTTCCACCTGCAGAAGATTTGTCAAGGTCAGCTCAGTGTGTAGTGAGTGCAGCAGAGTGTTTCCGCCTGAAACCTGCCTCAGAAGCAAAGTCCCCGATGGCTCCTGATGACATCTAAAGAGGTCTGAACCCTGAGTAGACTGTACTTGCAGCCAAACACTGCTTATAAGGGCATCTCGAACAGGCTTACAGCTACAGTAGATTATGTCAGTGAAGGACAACCTACACAATTGTTTACCTACCTTGGTGTGGAAAAGTTTAAACTAGCAAACTGTAGAAGTTTTCTGGTACAAGCAAAGCTCTACAGTTCAGACACATCCATCTGGGAGGCCCAGCTGGGCAGCGATGTATAAGGAAACACACCTAACACAAGTATGAGTTTTCCTTGCTGGATCGATGTCCCACAGCTTCAGAGCTGTAAGGAACCAACGTGGGCTGAACACCATAGGACTGCTGCCTAAAGGCTGTATTAGTTGACAAAATGTTGGGTGACATTGAAGGCAGACAGAGGATCTTTTTTATGTGTTCACAGGTCATTAATCTACAGGTCTAGCTGCTGAGTTGTGTTATAGCTTCAGCTGTCATTTATAAATCTTGTCTCAAATGAAATAAATGTGGAGGTGATGCTCCCCTGCCACTTTTTAAAGGAGCTGGGTGCCGTGTGTGCCGGTGTGACTGGAGATTTGGTGATGGGTCTTTTCTTCTTGCAATTATCAGCCACTCATAGCAGGCCAGCCAGCTACGCACCTCTGCATGTGCCTATGAATTATACATGGGCTCCATTAAGACACTTAACAGCTGGTTTCTCAGGAACTTACCAGCAACAACTGCAGCCGGGCTGCCCCTTTGTGACTGCTTATTAAAACAGCAGCATTTAATTAAGGTTGTGCAGTAATGTGAGTTCTGACCATCATAAACCAGCCAGTCACAGAGCCAATGTCAGTTCAGTCTCATCTCTCCAGAGGGCAGCTGGGCAAGCTGTCGATTTCCTGGCATGGCGGTAAGATGCAACGCAGGAATTAAATGTCTGTTGTGGCTCGCTGACCTTGCTGTGGTTCGGACACTTAGCCTTTTCTATTCCAACTGTAACAGATGTCCTGGTCATCATACCTGTACATCCAACAAAGAGCCAGAAGTAATGACTTGAGAGGAAGAAGAGGTTAAGCAGACAGTTTTAATGAATATTACTGGGAGAGAGAGAGGAGATGGCAGACAGCCACACTCGTTCTGGACACCTGGTTATAAAACCATAGCAAGCAAATGAATGTCATTTAAATGCGATGAAGACCTGTTGAATTCATAAAACAATCACAACATTCACAACTTCCCTACCGTAACAGAAACACACCAGTTGAAACCAGCCCTCTTTTCCTTTATATAACACAATGCCCCTCGAGATAAAGAAAAGGTCAATCACACCTACATGGGAAGATCAAACTGCATTATCATTATCTGATCCTTATCCAAAGATGAACTCGATTAGTCTGATCTAATATTAATTATCTCTTCACCCCAAACATTACATCCATCCATCTTCTTCCGCTTATCCAGGGCTGGGTCACGGGGGCAGCAGCCTAAGCAGAGAAGCCCAGCTCCTCCTCCAGCTTGTCCGGGGGAACACCAAGGCGTTCCCAGGCCAGCCGAGAGATATAATCTCAGCTGGGTCTGAAGGGGTGACGTTCATTTGATGCCATAAAACACAGCGTCCTGATATTTAAAGCTACATTTAATACTTGGCCTCTTTAGAGATTCTGACATTTTTCATTACAGTCTTTGGCTTCGGTTTAGCACCAGCTCGATAATGAGGCAACGAATGTCACAACAAATTGGATTTATTTCCTGGATCTAATTCTGCGCCTCTTTGTATCAATTCTCCTTTAACGCTCGTAACAAGATTGGGACTTTGTCATAAAATTTCACCACACGACTGCTTCAATATTATTCACAAATGTCAAATACAAGCCATCGCAGCACTGTAAAAACTGCTTCGATCAGGATAACACGCATTTGCTTTTATTACAAATCAATTTTTTCCATGGACTGGAGTTATTAGCATAAGTATATAATTTGACAAGATGATTAAATGCCAGACAAAGACACACTTGGAAATCAGCACCACAGGGAGCAAAAAAAAGTGGGAGCGAATGAAGAAAGAGGCTCTCTCCAGACACCACTTATTTGCCTTTTTCACCGTACCTGCAGCTGGCAATGCGTAATGTTTTTCAATGAGACGAGGTGCTAAAAATGGCTCCTTCAACAGCTGCTTCACCCCCTCTCCCACCTCTCAAAAATCACCCCACCTTCTGCTTATGGAGCTTTTTCCTGAGCCATAATATTTTTCAAGATTAGACACACAATTAACTCTAATGTTCTTAGAGGAGAAGAGGGGGAGGGCAACGCTGCTGGAGGACAAAATATAATCATCGCTCCACAACCCAGCTCTGTGTAAGACAATGCCTGCACATTAGCTGATAATAATGTGACATACACAAAACAATACACAATGTTAATCTCGGAAATGATACATCTACTGTAAACCACAGCTGAGGAGGAAAATGTATCGCCGCAGTGAATTTCCAAGTCTGCTTTACAAGATAAGGAGACTTTTTTAATATATAGTAGTACACCACAATAGGCCTGTTATTTTACCACCGCACAACAGAATCTGTCAGAGGTTCAAGCACACGTAGAGTCGAGCTGACATCTACCTAGCAAGCAAGCTGGAACAAGCTGCACACCACTACCTGCAGCACCCTGGGGGTATGTCTGCCACACTGTGTACCCTCAATGAGACGTCTAGCTCAAAGTGTTATGCAAAAACAAAAAGGATATGAACCTGTAATGTGGGGAGAAAAAGAGGACTAGTGCTTTCGGTCGTGGATGGTCTCTACAGGCAATTCCATTCTTTTGGAACAATAAAGCAAAAGATGCATGAAATTCAATAGAAAATTAGAAACAACTTAAAAACTCTTTATTTAACAGCGGGTAACTCTTCATGCTTGATTTATTAGTTATTTGTATTTAAATGCTACACTAGTTATGATATAAACAAATTGCATTTGTTTATATAATATTGCCGCCCCCCCCTTCCCTAGAAATGATTATACAGAAATCCTTCAAATCTCCTTCACTGCTTGCTGCGCTGTAGCGTCTTTGCTTCGGTGCAATTTATCTACAGAAAAATTGTATTCTGGACGTGTTCATTTGAGATACGAGGCACATGAAAACCCTTATTATCGTCTCAGCGAACATCTTTTTTGTCACAGAGCCCATTATTCCTCAATAGGAGCACCGGGCCTTGTTTGCACCACAAAGCTGGGCATTGAGCAGCAAAGTCATAAATGTGCTTTAAGGGTTATCCCCCTAACGGTGCGACACGGCGATGATGACCGATGTACTCGGAGCGGAGAGTATCGGCACTACTGTGACCTTGTTTTAACTAACAGGTTACATGGACAGCAAGAGGCTGTGTGCTGACAACAGGTAGACACAAAGGGCAGACAATGATATTTCAAACGGTGCAACGGTTTTAAACGGAGCCAAAAGACTTTCTAAAGACTCCAGGGATCATGACAGGACGTGGAAATTTAACTACTCAGGAAATGCACTTAGGCCAGATGAATAAAGATTTCATTTTACTCCAAAGAAGTTTTAATGAACAGAAATATATACAGAGTGTAAAAGTGAAACCACTGCCCTGCTGATTTAATTTTGGCCCAATTTTTATTTATATTTTTCTTCTAAGAGATGCACTCGCACTAAATGATTAAAGAAGACCAATTTCAGAATCAGCATACTTTATTAATCCCTAAGGACATTATGTGGGTTACAGTTGCTCCAGTACAGTAAGAGACTAGACCAGGGGTCCCCAATCCCAGCCCACGAGGGCCGGTGTCCTGCAGGTTTTAGACGTGTCCTTGATCCAACACAGCTGATTTAAATGGATAAATGACCTCAACATGTCCTGAAGTTCTCCACAGGCCTGGTAATGAACTAATCATGTGATTCAGGTGTGTTGACCCAGGGTGAGATCTAAAACCTGCAGGACACCGGCCCTCAGGGACCCCTGGACTAGACTATTCAATACAATATGTTACAGATTTAATAATAATTCCTAATAAATATCAAAGATTGACAGAAGTGATTATAAATAATGATCAAGAATGTTGACAGCAACATTACTGAGTAGAAACGAGCGTGTGCAAAAAGGCTGTAACTATTCCAGTGTGTTAGATGGAGGAGTTGTACAGGGAGGGGGCCACGGGCAGGAATGACTTCCTGTGTCGTTCAGTGGAGCATTATGGGTAATCTCAGTCTCTCACTGAGCGTGCTCCTGTGATTGGCCAGCATGTCATGGAGTGGGTGGTAGGTATTGTCCAACATTGTCTTTATCTTGGACATTTTACTTTGCTGCATTGCTATAGTTAGTGCCATGAATTGATGGTGATTCATAGTTCCAGCTAACTTGCTGTAAAAATGAGAGCATCCCACATAAGGCAAAGAAACTGCACTAAAACATTTGCTAATGTTATAAGTCTGAGACAAACGTCAGCATCCACATGCTCATCTCATCTCATGGAGCTAATTAGCGCTGACATTTGAAGTATTCAGGTTTAGCCAAGCTTGGATCATTCGATTACTTGCCCTCTCTCCTATCATCCTTAGCCTTCAAACCCCTATGCTTTATTTATAACATGTATACAATTCATTGCAGTTTTTTTCTAAGAGCTTACAGGGTATGCAACGTTACAATTTACTGAGCAAAAATATTAAACATTCACCCTCAGCTTTTCAAATGAATTAGCTGAACAACATAGTCCAGCAAATCAATTATTGGACAATGAATAATAGAACTGAAGTAATGCAGCTGATGATGCCATGTCAACACTGACACGCCAAAGTGTTATAGAAGCTGGACAGAGGCTACACAAGATGACGATGATCCGTCAGTGTAATACTGACTTTATGACCAAGGGTTCAAGATAAACCTTGCCAATATATCTTCCTACAAGAATGCTTTGGCAGCAGCCCCAGAACGCAGCTTCACTCTCAACCCTGTGAAAAAGCAATGAGCTCTGAATACAAAGTGCTCTCACACCCATTAACAGGACTCTCAAACAGGCACCACTATTAATCATTTTCATTTATTCTCTAGCCGGCAATAATTTGTTCATTTAATAATTCAGATACGAAATGGAAGCTAGAAGAGAGGTAATGTGGCGAGGTAAAGGTGGGCTCAGTATTTCACACTTCTACGTAGGTGAGCGGGAGCCTGCACAGGGCTGGCATGCTAAAATATTAACGTGTGGGCTGTGAATATTCATGCGCGGCCATCCCCATCGTGAGATTGTGGAGGACACACCAGTGTCCCTGGAGTGTAATCCGATTCTACGTGCCCCTGCTTCATTTCCAAGGACAAGGGGCTTTGGGTGGGGAAGGCGCTTGGCTGAATAGAAAAACGGCGACTGCAACACGTTTCAGCCAATGGGAGGCAGGGAGTGGCGTTAGACTGATGGGTCACGACGAGGTTGACCTCCAGTCATTACTGTCTGTGTGAGCTGATAATGGATCAGGTTGTGCTGCCACTGTCATAGCTTTACTTAAAAGTGACAACAGATATTATCCTAATAACAGTGAACGTTTCAAGACATTTAGATGAATCTGAAATAGGAGTTTCGATCTGCTATAAAAGAGGATCCATATACAGAAGAGGGAGGCTGGATTTAAAAACAGACACACACACACACGTACTCCCCGTGTCTGTTTTCAAAAGGTAACCAAGCAACCAGGCTCTTGTCACGGCCTTTGGTTATAGGCTTATCAGGTAACTCCCTTCTGTGCCCGTCCCGCTCACATTTTTACAAGGTTGCTTTGTGCTTTATTCTGTTTTATGGCAGTGGCCTCACTCTTGACCCAAACAAGAGTAAAGCCACTTTTGTCTGGGTCAAGCGAGGAGTGGAGGGGGTTGAGAGAGTACCAGGGAAGGCTTCTAATACCTTTCCTGGAAGAATGACTACTCGGACCATGCGAGACATGCAGAGTGTAGACTGCCAAATCCAAATCAACAGGTTATGTAACCAAAGCAAATAAATGACACACATGTCAGAGAG